GATCTTGGAGGATTCTGTGCAACCCTGAAGATGGCTGACACTGGACCCGCAGCAGTCGATTTCACGGCCAGCGCTGTCACTCTCACCTCCAGCTTCTAGATTGTGGAGGTCCTGTCAACTCCATCTGGGAGAGAAAGAAGCACACAATGGGTGCAGATGAGCAAGACAATCCCATTCATGCCCACTTACACTGATACGCATTGGGCCTCCCAGTCTCTGAGGGCAGATAAAGGCTGAATTCATTCATTCATTCACATAGTCACCCACTCAGCATCTGTGGAACAGCTATTTTTTCCAGGAATCAAATTAAGCCCGGGATCAAGATGAAAAGACCTAATCCTCGCCCTCCAGGTACTCACAGTTCAGGTAGGGCACAGACATGTAAACAGATGCTATGAGTGATAACTGCTCTAATGTGGATGTGCCCGGCACAGCAGGAACATGGAGGAAGAAATGTGTAAGTCAGCCTTGGAAGTCAAGGACGGTTTCAAAGAAGACACACAAGGATCTTTTTAGATGATGCTGGTAGGAGAAGAAAGAGTCTGCCGGGCAAAGAGGAGGCAGGACTGGATGAAGGCGGGGAGAGTACCCAGCTTGAATAAAGGTGTGGAGACAGGTCATTGTGTGGTGGGTCTGGGGCAGGCTGAAGATTTAGAGTGAAGGATGGAGGGATGGAGGAGTGGCAGCTGAAAAGCCAGGCATGGGGCTGCAACAGACATAGGGGTGGGTCTGTCTAGCTCACAACCCTTTCTTTGGGAGCACCTCCCTATCACCCTGAGTCCTTGATTAAAGTCTGTGACAGCTGATCAGACCAGATGGATGCATCTGGTCCAAACTGATCCAGATTCTTTATCTCGATAATCTGATTAGAGGTAGAGAAGGCATGGTTAGATGCTGTGGGTGCTTTGAGCTGAAAGGTCATGTGGAAGTGGAGAGTGCTGAGGGCCCCCAGAGATATGCCAAGTCTACTTTATGAGGAACTGGAGAACCCAGGCTGAAGAGAAAGTGGAGAACACACAATCAGAGATGAGATGCCACGAGTGAGATAGGTAGTAGAGGGAGCTGACAATTGCCTGCCCCTTTTTGGATGTCTGCTTATACATGGGTTCCAGGTGAGTTTCCAAAGTCAGGAGCAGGGGCCCCATGTACTATGAACAGGAGCCTGGATGTAGATGATAGGGAATTATAAACAGTAGAGTCACCAGATCTGATTTTAGAATGGTTTCTCTGGCAGCTGTGTCAGATGGCCTGAAGAAGGGAAGGCTGGTGGCAGGAGGACCCTTTGGGAGGCTGCTACAATGGTCCATGTCTGAACTGACAAGGGCCTTAACTGGTGAGCGGAGAGGGGCAAGGATTAGCCATCTCACGACACAGAAATGACTATGTTCCATGATCTCACCAAATAAGGGTGACCACTAAATAAATGTCTCCCTGGTTTCGCTGACATCCCAAATGTCAACAAGTGTGTCCCAGTCCCTGATGTCACAAACCTGGTCTACCAGATGGAAAATCTGGACTCACTAGACAGAACTCAGGTGTGAGACAGAGCGTCAGAGTGTTGCAGGGAAAGCTGGAGGACCTCAGGGACGTGGAGGAGCACTGAGCCCACTGCAAGGGCTTCCTGGCCTCCTCCTGAGTGGCATCAGCTGCTGTCTCTGCCAGCCGGGACTTGGAGAGTTTTTTTTAATTGAAATTTCTATTAAGCTAACTGTAGGTTCACATGCAGTTGTAAGCGATAATACAGAGAAATTTCTTGTATACTTTGCCCCGTGTCCCCCAGTGGTAACATTTTACAGAACTGTAGTATGTCACAATCAGGATATTGACACTGATACAACACACCGATCTTATTCAGATTCCCTCAATTGTACTTGTACTCACGCGTGTACATGTGTGCCTGTGCTCACGTGCACACGTGTATTAAGTTCTATACAAGTTTTGGAGGAGAAATTTTAAAAAAGGAAAGCAAATGGCTCCTGAGAGCTTCTGCTTATCTGCAGAGAAATGACCGATAGGTAATTCCAGACTCATCGTTTACACTTATTCAAACTGTGCACTGCACAACTCCAGGGGGCGCTGTTCACATGCAACCATCATAGGTTTGTATGATTATTACGACAAGCATTTCTGATAGATGCAGCACAGCGCCTTGAGAAAGTGGGGCCTTTTTCTAATTTGCACAAAGTCTCCATATGGGCTAGAAGTGGGCCTGGTAAGTTCCAGGAAGGGGTGAGGGGGAAGGTGAGAAGGAACAGCAAGGAAATCACCTGAAGCATGAGCTCCAGAACATCAGAGAGTGGCTCTGTGTTCCTCCCTATGGTATAATTCACTACAGACTCCACTCTGCTAGGAAGAGCTCCTTCTGTAGCCTTGATTATCCCTGCCCATACAGTCCCCCTCACGGAGGAAGACAATGGCTAGGCTTGGTACTGGGGCTTCCAGAGCACCCGGGACCACCAACCTGGAGCAAGCTCAACAGAGACTGAATAAAGTCTTAAATAACTGCAAACCAAGATGGCAGAGGGCAGCCCACCCACCTGGACTTCTCACCGTTTCTGTCAAAGGGGCCTAGGAGAAGAAAGGAAGAGATGGAAGGGAAGGCAAAGAAAAAAGGCTGAAGCTGGCACCAGGAGGGCAGCAGTTACTAGAGGAGGCTGAGAGCAGAAATGTCAGCACAGAAGGATGGACACCTAGGGGGCTTGGGGACCAGCTGCTTTAGAATGGTCTTCCTGGGATATGGTGTCCCAGGAACCTGGACACTCTCCTCCTCCTTTCCTGAGATGGAAGCAGAGGAAGCTCTTTGCTTCGCTTTCTTCTCCCCACTCATTCGCTCTCCTGTAAAACGACTAATCCATTGGCATGTGTCCCCAGCAAGGTCATCTTCCTTGGCACCTGGAAGGGCCACGGACCAGTAGAGAGTTGCTGTCACAGCGGGAAGGCACACCGGCACCATGACCAACCAGGCCACCCTTAACTCCATTTGCATTCTCTGCTCAGGAAACTGCTTACAAGGCTTCCCACCAGAGGGAATTATTGAGAAAAAACATGGCAGTAAAAAGGCTTAGGAGATTAATGAGATGAAAACATGAGCAAAAAACATCAGTTCAGAAAGATTTTCTGTAAAAATAGAACAGGCTAAAAAAATGGAGTCTTTTCAATGAAAACCTCCCTTTAATAAAGAGCATTTGACATTCTTGCTACTAATGATAACGTTAGTACTTAGCAGTTTGATTAAGAGCTTTCAACATTGCCAATTATCTGAGATCAATCAAGCCCTGGGGGAAAAGGTCAGTTCTCCTTGCTGACTCCCAAAGGCAGGCAAAGGCCAGAGTTCCCCACCCATCAGCCAGCTGGGGGGCCGGGAGGGGGCCGAGCTCAGCCCGATGACTCAGGGCGTGGGGGCTCCAGCCCTCAGAATTCACTCTCAGCATCCGAGCACCGTAGGCACCAGCTTTGGGGATGCTCTCCCCATCTAATGTCTTAATTTGGTCCCACACAGGCCCTCATTACTTCTTTTTTTTATTTTAAATTGAGATATAATTCATATACCATAAAATTTACCCTTTTTAAAGTGTACAGTTCTGTAGTTTTTAGTATATTCACAGAGTTGTGCAACAATCCCCCTCCCAAAAAAACAAAAAACAAAAAAACCCAGCTGCCATCAAGTAGACTCCAACACATGGTGACCCCATGTGTGTCAGAGTAGAACTGTGCTCCATAGGTTTTCAATGGCTGATTTTTTGGAAGTAGACTGTCAAGCCTTTCTTCCTAGGTGCCTCTGGATGGACTCGAATCATCAACCTCTCAGTTAGCAGCAAGTGCATTAACTGTTTGCAATACCTGGTGCAACCATCACCATTATCTAATTCCAGAACATCTTCATCACCTCAAAAGGAAACCTGGTCGACTGTTAGCAGTCACTCACTCCCCACTCCTGCTACCCCTCCCCACCCCACCCCCCACGACCACCCTGGCACCCAGTAACCCGGTTTCTGTCTCTGTGGATTTGCTGACTCTGGATATTTCATATAAATGGAATCATACAATACGTGGTCTTCTGTGTCTGGCTTTTTTCACTTACATGTTTTTGGGGTTCATCCATTTGTAGCATACATCACCCCTTCCTTCCTTTTTATGGGTGAATAATATTCCATTGTATGGATATACCACATTTTGCTTATCCATTCATTGGTTGATGGACATCTGGGTTATTTTCCATTACTTCTTAGGGGGCTTTTTATTGGTGCTGCTGACCCAGTCTCCTCAGTCAGGTGGAGAACAGGAGCTGGTGGCACCTCCCCACCAGAGGTATCAGGGAAGGAAAAATAATGCTAAGCTTCTAGGATTTGAATGGCCAAAGGAGACAGCAGTGGTTTTCAAATGGGGCTCCCTGGAACCCAGAGGAGCTCACAGAAGGATCTTTGCTTCCTACTGAGGGTTTGGCCAGATCTGAAGCCCTGGACGTCACAGCAGCCCGGGGAGTCCTTCTACTCCCTTTTGGTCTAAATGGAAGCTCTCTGCGAGCTCTGGAGAGCCTTGGCCTGGAGGGCTCAGGTGGCTGTGGCTGCCACCCTCCACTCTGCTCCATGCAGAGCTTTTACCTGTCTCATAGTTGGTTTCAGGATAAGATCATGTCTGCAGAGACTGAAAGTCAAAAATCCACCTGTGTGGAGGATAAAGCTCTCTGGAGCAGGAGCTGATGGCAGCCTTTCTCTGTGCTACTGCCAGATAGCACACGTTCTGGCTCTAGGTGCGCTGACAGCCCATCTCGGGGGTGGGGAAGGCATCCAAAGACTAGAGACGGGAAGGCTCAGAGGAGGGCTGTCTGGATCTCCCTGACTCAGAGCCTCCCAGGAAGCTGGCAGAAAGGCGCGGACAGCTCTCCTGCCTGCCAGACATTCACAGGGGCGGAAGCTGAGTCCAGGCCCTGAGAAAGCTGCATGGTTAGTACCAGGAGGAGCGGAAGGCCTCCTGGGCTGTATATGTAGCAGGGCTTCAGATCAGACCAAGAGGAGGTGGGAAGACACAGCGTCTTCTGTGAGCTTCTTGTGCGGACGCGGCGCTGCACAGCCCAGCCCCATTACAGCCGTGGGCGAGGCAGGCAGCGGGCTGTGGGTCTGTGACGCTGCGAGGGACACCTCAGACTGCTTGGGGCTCCAGGTGTTACGGAAGCTGTTTGGAACAGGGCCGTGTAAAAACAAGGAGGGTTTTTTGTTTCAAAAATTCTATTTTTAGCAGAAGTTGGGATATGCTTGGACCAGACCAGGGGACGTAGTGCTGAGAAGGAAAGGCTCCAGTCCTGGGGGGATGTTCCCACTAAAAGCCATGTCGTGTGTTCCTGACTTCTCCGGTGCCTGGCATTTGGCTGGGATGATTGCCATGGTGTGACTCCAGTATGCACTGTGGAGGCGGGGCTTCGAGGGAGAGGGACAGCCTGGGTCTCCAGGTCCCTGTCTCACCTCCCAGAGAGGGAGGAAGAGCCGGCTGCCTGGGACGCTGCTGGTGCAGCTTGATGAGGGCACTCCAAGGCCATACTGTCTCCCTGTCCCCTGCCTAACCGTCTTCTTTCCCTTCCCATTACCCCGGAGCTACTGCCAGAGTACAGCCTGCAGATGGCCAGGAGGTATCCCAGGGGTGCGGTAACAGAGGCATGCAGGAAGGATGGACTCACCTCCCAGGGCGTGTTCGGTCATACTGAGGCACAAGGACTCCAGCCTGTTGTTGATGTCAGGTTCAGTCACGGGAAGCTGGAATTCTGCAGGGGACAAAGGGGTATGTTGGTGACAGGGACTCTAAGGACAAGGAGAAAGTATGCACGGTGCCACCTGGCTTCCTCACGTGGCAGCTTTCAGGATGAAGGTCTGGTGTGCCTACCTGGGAGGGACTCAGGGGAACTGTCAGGACCAGCACCAAGGGCAAGTGATGCACAGGTTCAATCAACCTCTAAAGTCTTTTGGACACATGGAGTCCACTGTGAACATGAGCAGCTGGCAGGAAACTGGTGACTAAACATAGCTGGCCATAGTCATAGTTTGTCACTCGTCTGCTCACAACCCTCTAGTGGCTTCCCACCAGAATAAAAGCTTAACCCAAGCCATGGCCTGTGAGGTCCCACATGATCTGGGCCCGTTACCTCTCTGTCCTCTTACAGCTCTTCCCTTCCTTCACTCCATCCCAGGCCCTCTCCTGCCCCAGGGCCTTTGCACTGCTTTCCCTTGGCTTAGAATGCTGGTTCCTGGCTGACTCTTCCTATCTTCAAGTCTCTGTACTGTCTTCTCAGTATAAGAACAACACCTCCCCACACTCTCCCTTTCCTCTGCTTTATTTTTCTTCGTAACCTTCACCAGCATCTGACATAGTACATATTTATTTCTGCCTCCCCCAAGTTGAATATGCACTTCGTTACAGCAGGACTGGGCTCTGGATCCTGTACCTAGAACTGTGTGAGGCCCGTTTTAGCTTCCTCATGAGGATGCAGTGGGGGAGAAGCCACAGCATGGTGAGCGTCTCTTCTGAGTCTGAGACTGTGACGCTTTAGATGTGTTGGCTCCTAATCTGCTCAACAAGCTCATTTCCCAGGTAAGGCTTAGAGATGCAAATAAATCCTCAAGGTTAGGGAGCGAGCATGGAGTGGGGACAAGACCTCACATGGGTCTGACTCCAAAGTCTCTGCTCTGCTACATGCCATAGCGTCACGGGGAGCATCGGCAGGTCACTGTCAACACTCTCAGCCTTTAGAATGAAGGGCAGAGACATCTACTCAATGGCTGAAGCTGGGGGGTGGCTCCTGCTGTCCAAGACAACACTGTACCCATTACAACCACAATGCCCTGGCTACAAGGAGCCCTGATGGCACAGTGGTTAAAGCGCTCAGCTGATAACCGAAAGGTTGGCAGTTCAAACCTACCAGCTGCTCCATGGGAGAAAGATGTGGCAGTCTGCTCCCATAAAGATTTACAGCCTTGGAAACCCTATGGGGCAGTTCTACTCTGTCCTTTAGGGTCACTATGAGGTGGAATCGACTCGACGGCGGTGGGTTTGGTTTTGCCCTGGCTACCATCTGGGCCCACCCTCCCCCATCTTTAGGCTCCAGTCTCGGTCCAGCCCTTGGACACCTCCTCCTCTGTCCTGCTAGGGCCCTCACCGTCAGCACCCCCTTGAATGTCCTTACTCGGCTAGAAGCACCTCGCAGACAGGACGGTGCTTTCATCTCTCTCTGAGGCTCCCATAATACCCAGCTGTGGCCTCTTACATACCTCAAAACATGTCTATTGAGTGACGAAAAATGATGGAGCAAGAAGTGGAGGGAAAGTCTGACAGCTAAGAATTGTGGAAAAGGTGCAAATGGTTAAGCACTCGGCTGCTAGCGGAAAGCTTGGCGGTTTGATTCCACCCAGAGGCGCCTCAGGAGAAAGGCCCAGTGAGCTACTTGTGGAAAATCAGCCATTGACAACCCAGTGGAACAAATGTTACTGGTATGGGGAGGGAGGGCTAGAAAAAAAATCCTGGAGAAGTGTCAGTAACGGGACATGTTCTCAATGCCTGGGAAGTTTCAGCATTATCACTGCCTTCATAGGTGACCCTTCACTCCTTTGGGACTTAACTCTTCGACCCGTAAAGTGGGGAAATAGTTTGTGGTCCAAACTTCAGGCCATTTCCTTGTTCCTTTGCATCTCCACCAGGGGGCATATGAGCAGATAAAGAGAAAAGGCGGGGGTGGGGTGGTGGGGGGAGAGGTCTATTTTTAATAAAAATGAGGTTGGCGGTTTGCTGGGATAGGAAATTGAAACCAATGGCTAAACCAAAGAATTTGTTTTCCTTGATTAGCTATACACTTAGAATTCTCTACAATCTGTATTCCCCATTACCAGCTAATTCAGAGGCAGATGTCGTTTCCGTTATTTAAAATTCTCAAAGAGAAGGTTGGCAAAATGGATCAATATTAAAAGCCACCAGGGAGCAGATACTGTGCTTTCTGACACAAGCTCTACCATCAATGGCTTTGGAAGACAACTGTGCCAACTCACGAATAGATGGAGGCTCAACAAGCTTCCAGGGAAGCCAGGAGCCAAAGAGGATGGGAGGACAGATTATAGTTTTTTCTTGTCTTCCCCTCACTAGTTGCTATCAGAGTTTGGTTGGGGCACTCAGACAATCCCTGAGGGAAGAGTATTTTCGTATTTTCATCCATTCATGTGAAAATCATATGCATGCGAAAATTAGCAGCCCTCAGGGTGTGAAATCTATAAAATAGAAACACACAATTTTATATATAGCCAGTTAGCAAATATGAAAAAAAAAAAAAAAAGCCCTGAGCAATTATAGCCATCCATATGCTCATTGTAAAATTTAGTTTACTCTCTAGCGCTCCCCTTTAAACAAACACTGTGGAAAGATTTGGATAAATAAAGATGCTCGACATTTGGAGAGAAGTGTTTCAGCTGCAGGATTTCTTGCCAACACGCAGCAAAATGCCATTTTCCAAGCCTGGGATTGCGTGTTCCAAGAAGGGGGCTGAGAAATGCAGGGCTCTCTGCTCCAGATCTCCAAACCTAGTGGCTGCTCTTTTAGGTTGTAAGTTGCCTGGCTGGCTTTTTCTCCCCCAGCTCCTCACTGTGATGCATTGGGGAGCAGTGAAGGTGGTCGCACAACCCCCTGCCACTCTGAGAGTCGCTCTGAAAAATTCTAATTCTTGGTAGAAGCCCATATGTTCAAACCCCAGAGTTTCCTAATAGTGTGACTTTTTAATTGTGTATCTGATAAAAACAGATCTATGGCATCTTACCACACACACAAGGCAGACGGGAGACCAGTTGGGTGGATGACAGCTTCCATCTCAGGCTAGAAACCCTCAGCCATGTGTCACCAGGTGGGCAGAGGTCTCACCAAAGTCTCAGGGGGGCACTTGGGCAGCTCCTGCCCCACTGGCCCACTTTAACCATTGGGGCCAGTTCTTGCTATGGCTGCTACTAAATCTAAGGTGGCATAGCTTCCAGCAGCATCGCAACACACAAGCCACCACAGTACGACAAACGGACAGACGGGTGGCGATCAGAAGAACAAACAAATCAGTCATAGAAGAAATACAACCAGAATGCTCCTTAGAAGCAAGGATGGCAAGACTTCGGCTTGCTAATTTTGGACACATCATCAAGAAAGACTAATTGCCAGAAAAGGACATCATGGTTGTTTAAGTAGAGTGCCAGCAAAAATGAGGACTATCCTCAATGAGATGGAGTGACACAATAGCCGAAACAAAGGATTCAAACACAGCAACATATCGTGAATATGCCACAAAACTGGGCAATGGTTTCATTCTGTTATCCGTACAGTCATTATGAGTTGGAGCCAACTCGACAGCACCTAACAACAACACAACAAAGCTAAGGGCTCATCTCATTTATCCTGGGCCCCTGCTTTAACCGCCCAGGAAGAACGTCGCTGACAGTCTTCAGTAAGATAAGGAAAGGATCCTCTCTAACTGAGCCTTCTCTGCTCTTGCCCAAAGTAGGCCTATTTTTCTTGCTCAGATGACATCTCTGAGTACTAGGAATTCTTCTTTTCCTCATCATTAGACTATGAGTGCTGTGCTCCCAGGTATGCAGCATCCTGATCACCCTGAGGTAGAAGTCCAATCGTGGGCTGGTGCATAGGGAGGGTTTGTGAACAGATTTCATGTCACAACATGAAATGCTGCTGTGTAAGGAGCCGCCGGATCCATCCCACATCCAGGCAGTCCAGTACCAAGCACAGTTTGCATATGGTTTTGTGCAAGGGAAGGACGAGATCCCCAGGATGCAGCTCTGTGAGGCTGTCCAGCCTCCCTCTCCCTGTGGTTTTCCTTTGAAGCCGGCTCCCGACCCTTCTGCCCTTCTCCTCAGGCCTGCATGTGGTGAGAAGCCTCCATCACTTCCCAGCGTGGCGCCAGAGCTGCTCCAAGATCCCCTCGGACTGGACCTGAGCGTGGCTGAGCCCAGGTTAGCAGGAACAGAGCTGCTTCCAAAACAAATTATTCTCCGAGCAGTTTCCAAACTAATTTTCCAGTTGGGAAAACACACCCTGCCTTTGCTATGAACATGACTACTCTCGCCCAGACCACACTTATTTTGAGCTCAAGTCACCACCCTGGTGAGTGTATGAGACCTTGTTCCCGACTCGGGGAGGATCAGGTTAGTATTTCCTTCTCATTCCAGAGGCCAGCGAGAGGCAAAAACCACCCAACAGCTCTCCTGGCTGGTTCTGGGAAATATCTAAAACCAGTCCATGTGAAAATAAAGCTCAAAACAACCTCCAAGAGGCCCATGGATTTATGTAGATCCAGGGAAGAGTATCAAGCTTCTTGCAAATCTGAGTAAGTTGAGTGATCAATTAATACACCACTTGGAGGCTGGGTCTAGCCCTGTCTTTTCTGTACTCTTGGGAGACGTTTAAAATCTTCCATCATTTTGATGGAATTATTTTAATTTTATAGAATCAAAGTAGTTTCCTTATCATGAGACATCGTAGTCGTCAAGATTTACCCATATGGTCTAACATCAGCACTCTCAAGAACTCAAAGGGCCAGGAGGAAAATCCTATGCTGCATTGTCACAGTCTTCTGAGTATCTAACGTTGGGTTGTTTACACGTCTCTATTCCACTGTGCATTCACTATCTACTCCTGCTCATGTAAAGATGAAGCCATTTTCTGCCTTTGTAATATGATCCTTATAGTCTAGTCCTACCCTCAGCCAACCAAAAAACCAAACTCCTTGTTGTTGAGTCAATCCCAACTCATAGCGACCCTACAGGACAGTGTAGAACAGCCCCGTAGGGTTTCCAAGGCTGTAATCTTTACAAAAACAGAGCAGTCAACTATGCCAGGCCTCCCCTGAGCCGGCAAGACAGCTGGGCAGCAGTCAGGGATTGAGGCCTGGCTGAAATATTCATTGGAGGCGGTGAAAGATCTCCTCGTCCCAGAACATCTTCAAGTCTTGTCCAGGTTCTCTTTTATCGGGAACGAATTATACATAATTCCACGTAAGAACACAGGATGGAACTAAGTGATCCAGGAAGAAGGTCTTCACAACCCTCAAATTTTGTTAAGTATTTCGTCCCAGGAAGAAAAATAGCTACAGGTGTCAAAATGGAGAAAAGGAACATTGGGACAAAAGTGAGCAAATGAGATGCATTCTAGAAGCCAAACAGCACTTTTAACAGGCATCAAGGTCACACGGATGCTCCGTCCTTTCCTCTGGCCCGCCTTTCCCAGGGCAGCTCCTTTACACCCCTCTCCGTCAGCAGCTTCCTCCCCACTGGCCTCCTGACCTGCAGCCTGCCTCCCCTTCACTCGTCCACGTACACGCCCGCCTGACCCCGTTCAAAATCTTCCAGATTCCTCACTGAGAGTGACCAGAGTCCAAGCTCCTTGGCCCAGAATTCAAAGTTCTCCATGATCTGCCACAATCCAGACAGCAACCTGCGTCTACACTCTGCTACTTCAGCCAGACCCTTCTGCCCAGACATGGCTTCCCGGACACACCAAGGATGCCCTACCTTTTCAGTCTTGCTCCTGTAGTCCCTTCTGCCTATAACTTCACCCTCCCTCTTTCCACCTCTCCACTCTTCTGTCTTCTGACACTCAGCTCCAATCCCACGAAGCTTCCTTGTCCACTTCAGGCTGTGGGGATATTTCCCTTCCTTGCACTCCAAGACTCACTGTGTAGAGGGTTTCCACTGCCGAGGGCGGTTGTTTTCCTATATGTACAACACATCTAGAGGGTCCTCTAGATTAGGTGCAGTAATTGCTCACACAGCTTTGTATTATTGTTGGAGCCTAGTTCACCACCTGCACGCAGAAAGGGTTCAAATATTTGTTGGCTGTACCTAATTCCGGCTACTCTGTTTTAAGAGGCATGGTGGAAGGTGAAATTGGCTTGAGGTTGTGCCAAAAAACAAAACCAAACAAACAGTTGCTGTAGAGTTGATCCAACTCACCATGAGTATCAGAGCAGAACTGTACTTCATAGGGTTTCAATTAGCTGATTCTTTCTAAGTAGATTGCCAGGCCTTTCTTCTGAGATGCCTCTGGGTGGACTCGAACCTCCAACCTTTTGGTTAGCAGCCAACCATGTTAACTGTTTGCACTACCCAGGGACCCCTGAAGTGTGCCAAGGTGCTCTTTACCCAAGTAAAGGGAAGATGGCTGGCCCAATAATCATCCCATCCCCAAGGCAATCCCAAACCAGGGGGGAGGTCTCTAAGCATCAACACAGATGTTTTCTCTGTCTGTCTCACTCTCACTGTCTTTACACATACAAACCACACACACACACACACTCATACAAACCACACACACACACACACACACACACGGAACCCCTTCCCTCCCCCGCCAAAAAACCCTCCAGTAATATCTTTGCTTTAATTTATCTAGAAATAGGACTAGTATCAAAAATATCCTCCGTCAGATTGCAATCGACTCTGGGGCTACATGGGCTGGCTCCCAGCCAACCAGCCGCTATTCATGCTGGCAAGACACAGTTTAAAAAAGGAAAGGCTTCTATAAGCTCAAAAGAACGCACAGTGACAGTCGAGGCTACCCACTTTCCGGCGGGGTTCACCAGGGCATCTATTTTAGCGTCCTGGCCTCCCCTTGTGTCCAGGGGAGAAGTGAGTGAGAGATCCAGCGATGGCCCTACCTGGCTGCTGGAACATCAGCATGTTCTGCGGAGAAGTATGCACGGGCAGCGAGCGGGTCCTTTGGACTGAGCTGTGGGTTCGGCTTGGCATGCTGTTGCTGCCCCCAGGGTTGGCAAACCAAAGGTTCTAGTAAGAAATGCAAAAGGGGGCCATTAGTCCGGACACCCTGGGAGGGCCTCCAGCCAAAATTCAGGCAGGAGGCAAATACCACCAGAGAATTCTCTGCTAATTTCTGGAAAAGGCCTCGCAGGCAGGCGAGCACTATCATTTGCATATTTATAGAGAGAGGGTTTGGATTCCATTCATTTTATTTTTGCTCCCCTCCCCACCCCCAGGCCTCTCTTTAAGCTGCAGCTTTATTCTGGACGCCTCTCTCCTTCACTGTCTTCAAAACTCTCTTTATTCCCTTCCTTGCCTTTGCTTTTCCTGTCACTTTCCTAGGAAATGGGGGAGTTCTATAAATGTTTGCAGCAAAGAGCACAAACTATTTCAAGGCTCTCATTTGATTTTTTTTGTGAGATTCCACCAATTTACTCCAAAGGGAGAGGGATAAAGGAACCTCTCAGCTCTTAGCTGGTGACAAGCTAGCACAACTCAGCTGGTGTGTTATTATGACACGGGTGTTGTAGCCGTGACTTCCTCTTGAAGCGACCTGGGGGGTCCGGACAGTGGTCAGCAAAGTGGGGCTTTCCATTGTATGTTCTGTTTCCCCCCTGCTGGGCTTGCCTGGAGCCATTTTCCTGTTTTTAAACTAATCCCTCACCCCTTAGTTTTTTATGAGAACCCAGGTCCTCAGCCCCGTTTCTGTCCCTCACAAAGCTGGGGGCACGCAGATGGAAGGCACTGGGGTGGGGCAGGTTAGAAGGGTGAGGAGCAGGGGACAAAAGAGCCATCAGGCTTAACTGGCTGAGGAAGTTTCCCCTCTCCCTCCCACAGCCTCTCTCAGGCACTGTCCTGTCCTGCCCTGCCCGTTTGCCAACTGTGAGGGAGGAGTTATTTTGCCACAGATAAAAGGGCAAAGAAAGTGGTCCTACTCCATACTGCTTCAGGCTCCTCTGGAACTCAGATCTAAGAGGTGGTGAGGTCTGCTGGGGTAGGTCAAGGATCAAGGTAAATAAGAAACAGGTCTTGCATTTCTTCCTAAAAGCCCTCATGCACGGGGTCCCCAGGGCGTCCTAAGCAAATCTCCATGAGGCCAAGCGCAGTTGTGGTGCTGCTCTGCCTCCCAGAGGAGCAATGCAGACAACCCTGGTGAACTCTGAGGCAGGTGGACAACTGTCTTTCAGTTTATGCCCTTTGACGACCGTTCTCCACCCCCCACCCCCACCCACCCTGCAGTCATCTAAGGTAGGGGAGGTCCTGAGGTCTCAGGCCCTGAGCTTGGCGGGCCCTCCCTTGGGCACAACAAACCTGTCTTCCTTGTTTCATGATGGTGGGGTTGGCTGCGGTGTTGCGCTGGTTGGAAGTGACGAATCCACTGGTGCCCAAGAGGCCAAGCCGGGCAGAAGGGATATTCCGAGAGGGGATCTGGTACTGGCGGGGGTTCCGTCTGCCCATGCCGCCGCCCACAGAGCTGGCTGTTGGGAGGGAATTGGACTGCCCAAAACCGCGACTGTGAGTGGAACAGAGAAAGAACCAAGAGGCTATCAACCATTTCTCAGCCCTTCCTAAATCCTAGGCTGCCGGAGGAATGCCTCCTTGGGGTCTGTTTCCATTTTGCCATTTATGAGGCCTATGGGGAGAGGGGCTTTGTGCCAGGAAGGGACTGTGATTAAACAACAGCTATCATCTGTGAACATGTATTAAGTGCAGGCATTGTCCTCAGGCTTTTACATTGATTCTTTAATCCTCACGACAACTCCACAAAGTACATACACTATTTCCTCCTATATCTGGAGACATAAAACAGAGAGCTTAATAACTTAGCCAAGGTCACGCAGCCAGCAGGGGGCAGCACTGGAATGTGCGCCCAGAAGGTTCACCAACACTCTTCTGCGTCTTCCAAGCTGCATCTCATTCACCCATTGTGTTGCAGCCAGGACACAGGCACTGAGCACCTACGTGCCTTCCAAGAGGCCATGCAGCAAGAAAGCGGCAGAGCCAGGATCAGAACTGGGTCAGACTCCTGTCCCTGTGCTCCTTCCATCACACCATACTCCGTTTGTGATGTCTGTCTGTGTAGCTGACCTGGAGAGAGTGGCCGGTGAGCTCCACTAGGGATGGAAGCTCCATGAGAAAAAGGACGGTAGCTGTCTTCGTCAATCCTGTATGTCCCGTGACTAAATCAGCTCCTGGCACTGTAAATCATGTTGAGTGGATAAATGAATGAATGAACGAATGAATGAAACAGTCTCTGCCATTATCATGCCTCTCCAAGTGGAAGGGCTGGCCTTATCTCTAGGGATCCGACTTCCGGGTTGAGAGTAGGGGCATGAGAATGGAGATGATGATGTTTGCAAGTACTCTGGAGCCAGGGCCCCAACAGCTCCCCACACCACAGGCCCTCCCTGTAGAGCTGGCCATGCAAAGGCCCAGAGGGGTTACAATGATCCTCCTGGGTCCAAGGGGGGGAAGCCACCCAGGACCCTGGCATCCATACGCTGACGCCTGCGTTCCCGTTTGGTTCAGTGACCTCAGCACTGAAGAACTCGTCCTCTCCAGAACATGCCTCAGGTTCTGGGAGGTTACACAGCAGCCAGCAGTGTTTTAGGAACCAGTACATTCTTTCCAAGAAGAGTCAGCTTTAGTCATTCAGTGATGTTTAAGTCAAAATGCTTTACCTCCAATGGCCACAAGATGGAACAGACTTGCTTTCCACACAGGGGAGGACACTCCGGAGGCAGGGCTGACGTAGTTTAACCAGTTGAGGATAACAGGGGGCTACAAAACAGTAATTTCCTGAGAAAGAGGTGTGTGTGTGTGTGTGTGTGTGTGTGTGTCTGTGTGTCTGTGTGTGTGTGTAGGAGAGGGGGGCACCCAAGCCATCAGCAGAGCAGATCTGAGAAAATGGTTCTCTTTTCCCTGGAATTTCTAAATTTCCTAATGAGAAAGGGGGCAGGGAAGAAAATTCCATGGTGAGCTGGCTGCAACTGATTGCCAAGCTTGTGTGTTTCCATTTCCAGGCTCTGATGGCCAAGGAAAGGGTTCCAGACTTCTGCCAGAGGCTCGTCTAAAAGTGTGAGAAGGACAATGCTCACAGGTTCCTGGTCTCTGCTGATCTCATCCTTTCTCCCTTTGTTTTCCTTTTCCTTCCTTCTTTTTATTAAGGTCTAAAATCTTTAACAGAAGAAATTAGGGACAGGAGGGGTAGAAGTAACTTCATGGGATTACTTCTTTGGAGGCAGGACGATCTGAGATATATGATAGGCAGAAACAAGGATCAAGTGTTGCTGTCTTTTTTAAACTGTGAAATCTGGCCCCTTGGTTTTTGGAATTGGAATTTTGGCCACCTGGTAGATGATTCAGTATTGTGTTAAAAATTTTCCTTATTTAGTGTGGGTCGCTTTTTTCCCCACTTTCCTTTTTGGCTGGATTTTTACAAAGTTATTTCATATGTAAAATACAGCCGGCAATGAGTGATGCTAAAATGATTTGTGCTTCCAGAAAGGCAAGACTATATTTGTAAGCCATGTAATGTGGGCAGAGGATTCTGTTATGGGACACTTAGTCACTGGAGAAATGCGAGATCTCGGAACTCCGAAAGTCAGGACTTGTGGAACTAGGCTGAATGCAAGGGATACCACCCAGAACATTTTGGGGGTAGGGCAGGGATCAGTAGGGAGAATTTGGCTAGGTTATCTTTCTACTGAAAGTAGGGGCCCTTCTGTGGTATCTTTAGTTGGTTATTACAAAGCAGATTTGTTGAGAGTTGCCACTGCTGGCAACCAGAGTGAACACTTAGTTACTTAAGATTGCTAGGCTTTAATGACATACATGCTTCCCGGGGAGGGGGACAGAGTGCAAAAGTAAGTTTTCATTTCTCATTCTTTTGCCCTGCCCATCTGTGTCTCGCCTTCTCTGCTTTCCTAAATATAACCAACTGATTTCATTACATTTAAATGCGTGGAAAGACTTTGATAACATAACATTAATAAGAGCCAATTAATTGGGGATTTGTTGATAATTCAAGCAGGGACTGGCTGCAGTTACCTTTGTATTATTAGAGAAACAGAAATTCAAAGCAAACTAATAGCATAAAAAGATCCCAGAGGTAATACAAGAACAAAAATTTTTTTCTAGAGCTTTAGCAACGTCAAATAGAACATCCACGATCAATGATTGAATTCATTCTTCTCTAATCAATAAAAAGAGGTCCATTAGGACTCCAACCTGGCAAACCTTGGGTTAGCTCAACTGAAACCGTTAATGACACTCTAGGGAGCTCAAGGTTACTGCCCAGCTCGGCCCTAAGCAGGGCTCTCTGATGTGGACCAAGGATGAAGCGGGGCCAGCAGAGGCAGGGGATGGGACTTTGGGGAGGAGGAGCAAAAGAGCTTTAAAGCCCCACCTTCATCTTCAATCTCCGAATCTCTTCTTCTTCTTGGAACTTGCCTCCTGAGGGTCTGATGTTGCAAGAGGGGTCTGGAGCCTCCTTCCTTACTTGGGAGAAGTGTTGCTGCTCTTAGAAAATTGGGAGGATGGGATGGAAGCAGGCCCAGGGGTTGGAGGCTGAAGAGCAGACCTTGTCTTTTGTCTGGGTCACAGGGAATCCTCAGGTTGCACATATGGTCCAGCCCAACCTATCGGTATGGGCAACCACAAAGGGCTTCGGCCAGGGCGCTGGCAATAAAGAGTGTTGCTTTGCCTCAACTGTCCTTTCTACACAACAGCCTGAGACCCTGAGAGGGAAAGATTTTGGAGTTCTAGATCATGACGAGGCCCCCGGAGAGCTGCATTGTGTCTGTAGTGGTTAAGAGCATAGCCTCTGGAGCTGGCATAGGCCTGCTGGGTCCAAATTCTGAACCTGCCACTGACTACCGACTATCCCTGAGAAGTTTCTTAGGGTCTGATTGTCCTCATCTGTAAAACGGGCATAACAATAGCACATGATTGTTGCAGGAATTAAATGAATTAGTGTTCTTAAAGTGCTTGGCTCCCACTTGGCACATAGACAGTGTTAAATAAATGTTTACTTAATAAAAAATAGTATTATATATGTTGGAATATAATAATACTTCAATTTTAAAAATTAATCTTTAATGAAGACTTTTTATAAGCTCAAACTGGCCTTATCTCCCTTAAAGAGTACAAAACAGTGGTGTTTTAAGGCGCTCTTACGCAAATAAATGCCAAAATTTTAACAACATAGAAGGCAGAGCTTCTATATATGCACTGGGAAATGAACTCAGAACTTTTTAGGTGGAAGTGAAAAAACATTATTTATCTGCTCATGTTTAAAAATGCAAAACAGAACGTTGATTCTTCCAGATGTTTGCATAATTTATTCCCTTACCTCTCAGCAACGCCCTGCCATCCTTCAGGGCTTTAACTCACCCCCTGTCCTTTAGCCCTTCCCCAGATTTTCACTGCAATTTACCTTTAATATGCAATTCGATTTCTCAGTTAAAAACCATATTAAGGTAATGGGTACTAAAGTACAACTAGGCTTATTTTTAACTGCAGCCAAGAAGCTGAAGTACTATGAAAAATCAAGAATGGTACTGCTCTCCACTATCAGACTGCAGCTTAGACCAAAATAGACTAGCATTGGGCTCTTCACCCTGCCACCAGCTATAATTAGCTTGTCTGCAGCTAGGAGGGAGAAAAAAATTACACTACCACTTAAGGTGCTGATACAACAGCCCATTTTTGTCCTTTCAGAGCCCCCTGTCACAGGTATACTACCAAGGGTTTTGCTGGGATTCCTTAAGTCATATCCCCCACCCCCGACACACACACTTATCCAGATTAATACTGTCATTTGGACAATGTAAAGTGAGTTACAAAAGATCACATTCAGGTCTTCCGCTGGAATGGGCTCTCTCTCTAGCCTTTTCCCAACCCCACCTGCTTAAGGAATGTCATTTGAACCTGGCCACCAGGCATCCTGGGGAACAAGGAATGATGCCCTGCCTTATTCCTGCCCCAGGAACTGAGGCAGGCAAAGGAGGCACTGGGGAACCACCATGCATTATATGAACGAAATCCCAACATACTTTCTCTGCTGTCGATATCCGGATATGTCTAGAAGGGTTTTCCGAGGGAAAGACCGAAAGAGCTTCTGCACCTGCTGTTTCCATGACAACAATCTTTTTTTCTGTGTCTCTGTAAATGCCTGCAAAAACAAACAGGACTTTTTAATGGGTGACGCAGCCTGGCATGAGGGGGAGAAACATGCAATTAATAGGGGAAAACACTGGAGTCTCTGCAGTTGCCTTTTCTTCGCCTGTCTCCAACCTGGTTCAAGCAACAGTCAGTTTAATTTCAGAGCTGGCTGGGCTGCAAATCAGGTTATTTGACATTGGAGATACCTGGTAAGGTACATGCATTAAGCTTCTGACAAGCTTCATTTTGGGGATGTATTTTTGGCATATTCCACCTTTCTCCTCCTCCCGATGCAACTATGGACTCTATTTGATGAAGAATGAATTGCAAAATTGATTGATGAACGCTCTGGCTTTTGCAGGTCCCCTGCATTTGTATAATCAATGAGAATGCTAAACTGCTCCAAAAATCGATCTGCTTGATGGTATGTGGACACCCAGGAGTGGTCTGCAGGGCTTCAGAGAATGAGGTCTATTCTCTGAGCTTCAAGGGTTGGTTGAGAAATCTCTAGCTAAGGGGCCCCATGCCCTCTGAAGACCCCAGTGCACCAATCCTGGCCCAAATCCTTGTCTAAAGTGTAGGAAAATGGGTAGATTTGACGACTTCAAGTCTTTCCTAGTCAAAATGGGTATGTAGGGATATTTTGCCTAAACTCCAAACCCATTGCCATTGACATGATTTCTACTTACAGTGACCTTATACAACAGAGTAAACTGCCCCATGGGGTTTCCAAGGCTGTAATCTTTATGGAAGCAGACTGCTACATCTTTTTCCCATGGAGCGGCTGGTGGGTTCAAACCACTGACCCCTTGGTTAGTAGCTGAGTGCTTAACCACTGTGCCACCAGGGCTGCTTATGTTTTGCCTACTGCCCCATAACACCCTCTCATCTGTATTGGGTACGCTTTACATATGGCCTTTGTGCTCACCACAGCCCAGGGAAGGGCTTTACGTGGCTTATGAGCCCCCAAGGCAAGGACTCTCAAATTCATGACACATCAGACTTACCCAAACCAAACCAGTTGCTGTTGAGTCATTTCTGACTCATGGTAACCCCACGTGTATCAGAGTAGAACTGTGCTCCAAAGGGTTTTTAATGGCTACGTTTTTGGAAGTAGATCGCCAGGCCATTTTTCTGAGGTGCCTCTGGGTGGACTTGAACCACCAACCTTTCAGTTAGCAGCCAAGTGGGTTAACCATTTGCACCACCCAAGGACTCCAGACTTACCCAAGGAGACTGTTAAAAAGGCTGATTCCTGAACCTCCTCTGACCTCCCCCGACCCCCCACACTGCCTAGAGCCTGATTTAACAGATCCTGAGTGAAGTCTAGGGGAATTGTGTTTTTAAGCAAAGTGTCTTGTGATTTAGATGCAGGTAGAACATGGACCATAGGGTGTTCTAGATGGTGAGGACTGCACACATGATGTATGAATCCTCTGTCAAGTGCCTATAACTGTGGTTCACACATTGAGAGAAATCCATCAAATTTGACTGATTACCCTGAATGACACATGTAAAAACTGAGCTGGAAAATGTCTCATTATATATATTTTTACTACAATGAAAAAGAAAACAAAAAATTGCCTGATTAGCAGTAACAATGACAGGATAACATACTCAAGTAGCTTTGTCAATGAGGCATAAAATCTTGTAAGTAGTAATAAACTATTAGTAAGAGCAACAGACTATATGACCATTTCCCATAAAGAAAACAAATTCCTTAAAAACAGAAAAACAATGACAGCTTAATTTTCTCCTGATGACTGTTTAAGGACCTCAACACAGGAGAGCTAAGTGAACAAAAACAAGATGCTAATCATATTGCGGAAAAGTTACTGACCACTTACAAACCCTTTCCTCCTGCCTGACCTTAGTCAGACACCATTAAGATTATTCATGAAACAGGGTTGCTCAACTAAAGGACTCCAGGCCCCACCAGAGAAAGACGTGCAGACTCCCTTATGGTGTGTGGTGGGATGGGCTCATGGCTAAATGGTGAGGACCTGGTCTCCTCTGTGGTTGCTCTAATATGTTGTTGATGCTCAGTGAGTGTCCAACCCTAACACCATGAGCACCTCTGAAAACCTGTGGGAAAGGGAAGCATTTCTACTGGACTAATAAAGAAAAACCAAAACCATACCCATTGCCACTGAGTCAATTCTGACTGATAGCGACCCTGTAGGACACAGAACTGCCCCCATAGGATTTCCAAGGAGCAGCCGGTGGATTCGAACTGCTGACCTTTTGGTTAGCAGCCAAGCTCTTAACCACTGCGCCACCAGGGATCCAGTAAAGAAAGTGAGGGGATAGATTCTACTTTTGACAGATTTATCAGTCAAATATTGAGTGAGGACAAGATGCAGGAGCTGGTCAAGATCACATGGGGAGGGAAGTCCAGCTCGAATACCAGTACACCTGTATGCAAATTCCCTAACTGAATCTCAGTTTCTCCTAAAAATGAGGGTAATCATACCTCCCTCAAGCAGGACAGATTACCCAATAAGCAAGGTTTGCATGGGTTTACTAATCTGTAGTGCCACAATTTCACCTGCGAAATTTCACCCATGTAAAATTGTGCACTACAGATTAGTAAGCAAGTAGCAATTAAGCCAGCCCAAGCGTACCTTGCTTATTGGTTAATCTGCCCCTGTTCAAAGGGATGGTGTAAGGATTAAATGAGATAACACAGGAAAAGCACTTACAATACTTAGAACATGCCTGGCTCTTAGAAATGGCTCAATACATGTTAGCTATTAAAAAAAAAAAAAAGCACAAAAGCTAGCATGAGAGAGGAAAAGTGAATAACTTCGTCTATTTTTCGTTTAACCCTTACAACAATCAGATGCAGGTATTTTTCTCTGTTTTATAGGTAAGGAACATAAATAACTAAGTGAAGGATCTGAGATTAGAATCTAGCACTATCCCACTCCAGAGGTTGCCTTCATTCCATGATAAAAAGAGAGCAAAAGTCTCTGCTTTCAGGCTAAACAAGGGGAATCATGCTGGTACACCTGTGTTCATTCATTCAGCAGACATTTATTTAGTACTTATGAAGTACAAGGCCCACCACCCATCTGCCAGTTGGTCATACTGTGGTGGCCTGCATGTTGCTATGAT